CTCCCACCGACTCTACTTCTATTAATACCTAATCTCTATACTCAATAATAAATTAATAATTTATAGTTATTTTACTTTAAAATTAAATAACACACAACAACACACACACACACACACATATATATATATATATATATATATATATATATGCTTTTGTTTTCTTTTGACACATAATTTTTCACATTTTCTGATTTTTTTACACAAGTAATTTCACAATCATCACAATTTAAATGTTTTTGTTTATTTTAACATTACAAATAAATAAACTACCCCCACAGAGAAAAAATATATTTATTTTACTCAATGTGCAATATTAAAAAAATATGACCATTGAAAACCATCACAAAATTCAAAACAGATTCAAATCTGAACACAAATTTTACTTTGTCATTCTTATAAGCTGAAATGATCGTGTTGTCACGCATTGTATGCAGTATATTTTCAGTACAATGAAAAAAGAAGACACAAGAAGTTTAGTGGTAGTAAACACTATCGATTAAACCAGCTATAGATATACTGATATAATTCTATTAAAAGTGCACTGAAAGAACATTCTTTTGTGTGTTTATTGTTGCAAGTGCTAATTTATCAAATTCAACAACACTTTGTGCTATTAAAAGTATAAATTCTACCATTCCTCTTTGTGACAGTGATTCCAGAAAATCTGAAAAGAGATGTAATACCATTAACAAAATGGATTATCACGAGATGAATTCCCACAGACATACCATCAATTATGAAACAATTGGTGTGGCAGAAATGAATCAGAAGGATCAAGGAAATGTTCTATGTTGTGCCTAGAGCATTTTTCTGAAGAACGTTATCTACTGGAAAGTGCCATAATTGGAGTCAGTGGGCCTGACAAAACAAAGAAAATTTCTTTTGCTAGATGTTGTACCACCTATCAAAACATGGAAATACCCAACAGTAAAACTCTACTCCTCTACGTGCCTTACAAATCCTACACTGACACTAGTAAAGCAAAACATAGAAATAAATGCTGCACAAAATGTCATTATAACATCAAGCATGTGAGTGGACCATTGGCAAATTGAAGGAAAACTGGCTTGGGGCTGCTGAATATATTGCTAATTCTGCTAGAACAAAAATTCTATTGAAAGAGTCCTGTGTAATGTTCAATGAAAACGTTTTTTGAAAATTTCAAATATGTAAAACTTCGTGGCACAGTATATTTTAATTTCAAATATTTAGAGTTTGGTATACAGACAGAAATATATAAATGGTTTGCAGCACACTGAAATCAGAATTTTTGTAAAGTTTACTGAACAAATATGAAGTGTATAACAACTCATTTTATTAAACTTTTTTGTTGAATGAACAAAACGAGTTGTTATAAATTAAAGCATGAAGATGATTCAATCTCTTCTTCCTCATGAGCTAATAATTATGATTTACACTAAGCAACATCTAAAAAAAAAATGTAAACCATACAAAGATCAAATGCCATTTACCTTCCTGTATTGGGAATAATTATTTCTGTTTGAATACTGACTGTTGGATCAATGAAAATTTCAGCAGGGGGTGGGTGAATAGGAGCAGGAGCTGGCACTGACACAGGGACAGTGTGAGTACAGGATTGGCCGGTTAATGAGGTAGTTGGAAGCCCAGAGACACAATGGTTAGAAGCAGGCATTGATGGGCAAGGGCCCAGCATGTAAGCATGAGCAGCATGCTGTGGAAGACAACTTTGGGCTTGGCTCCCCTGAGGATGTGCTGCCATTGTGGGGGTACTACTAACTGGGGGAATGAACCCCATAGCAGCAGTGGTCACTCCTGGAAGAGGATCTGGGCAAATGTAAAAACTGTGCGCAGAACTGGGAGTTTCCACAAGTCGTCTAGAAAAATAAAAGCCACACAAACTAATTAGATTTTTCAAAGTTGAATGTTTTGACAGAACCACCATACAATTTATAACCTACCCAGTCCTTACTTTAAGAACACTAATATAAACAATAAAACATATTTGCTAAATATAATACACATAATACAAATATATGTCACAAAATGTTCTTACACTACTTTTTGGTCAGCGAATTCTTTTACTAGACTATAAGTAAGTTTGAAGAAACAAATATCAACTCAGATAAATTGCAAAAGCAAAGTAGTTAAAAAATAAATCAACAAATCCTATAAACTTTAAAACAATTCCTGTATTAAAGTCTAGAGTATCTCATGCAATCAGAAGAAAGAGAATAAAACATGATCATGGTACTTTAGTTACTAAAAAATATACTGTAATGTCTGTCAAATAATAACAATAAACATTATGAAACAATTATAAATTTTACAATTGAAACAATTATACATACGGAACAGAGAGTTAAGGTTAATACTGTTAACCTTATCGAGACTGGGTTGGGTCAGGGGCATGTCATCACATTTGTTGATTTACATTCAACGTTTTATTTAACTATTATTCTATAAATGTATGTCAATAAGTTTGGTATCAAATTGTAGATTACAATTCAAATTTTAGTGTTAAACATTGGTTAGTTTCTTAATTTGAAACTACATATTTAAAAAATGGCTAAATATTAATTTTTGTGTGTCACATGTTACGTGGCCTTTGGGTTTGGTCACATTACATTTTAGGACACCCACAATACACAACGTCTATAGTTTCGTAAGAATTAGAAACTGAAATGTTCGATATTGGCAAGCTAGAATATAAAATAAGAACCTCCTACCTATTTCTATTTGCTGAGATATCATGATATTTTGCTAACCCACCATATTAGCTCTGCCCACCACTTCATCATTTGAGAATTTATTTACATACACCTACTTTTACATACCAATAACTTTATAATCAATCGAAAGATATATATTTATTCTACATAATTCTGTCAGTCATCCTATGTTATTTACAAGAGAAATTCTCTCATATCATTGGAAAGTTTGAAGTATTGCTATCAAGGCTATTTTGTGAATGTAAATTATATTTTTTTAGACCCAAATACAATTTAGTTAGGAAACCTGATATATTACAGTGAATTTTTGGGGTATTGGTATAGTAATTTATAGTTTATTTTATTCCAAAATGTTTGTATAAAGTCTACAAAAAATATTATTTTTCCATCTCCACATGTGAATTTGGACAAGGCTTAGCAAGTATGGCTCACGAGTGCAAAGAAGGACTTCATTGCATCGTAACTAGTAGAGATCATTGTTTTCCAAATATTTTTTGATTTACTGTTTTTTTGTTTGAAGATAAATAACTAACATTTAAGTATTTATTTGAAAATATTAGTTATATATATACATATACATACATACACACATATGTAATGTATGGTAGCCAATATGGTACTGTATTTTACAAAGTATTTTTCTACTCATTTAAACTTATAAATAAAAACTGCTGATTAAATAATCACATCGATAAGTATATATGGTAAATAAAAACTACTGATTAAATATTCACATCGATATATGTATGGTAAATAAAAACTACTGATTAAACATTGACATCGATATATATACATGGTAAATAAAAACTTCTGATTAAAAATTCAAAACGATATATATATATGGTAAATAAACACATTTGATTAAACACTTACAACGATATATACATATGTGGTAAAGAAAACATCTGATAAAACATTTACAAACATGTATATATATATATAGATATATATATGGTAAAAAAACTTCTGAGTAAAAAATTTACAACTATATATGTAAAGATGTTCCTTTTCATGTATTAAGATCACTTGATCAGTGATAAATTTATTTCTTAGACTTTCACAAATTACATAAATAAACTTTTCCTGAATTGCCAAGTCTTTAGTTTTGTATAATTTGTTTTTATTCTACCTCCATACATATATATATATATCGTTGTAAATGTTTAATCAGATATTTTATTTAACATGTATATGTATATCGTTGTGAATGTTTAATCATAAGTTTTTATTTGCCATATATATGTAAATATATCTAAATATTTAATCACAAGATTTAGTTACCATATATATATCGTAGTAAATGTTTACTCAGAAATTCTTATTTACCATATATATATATATATATATATCGATGTGAATATTTAATCGCAAGTTTACATTTACCATATATATATGTATATCGTTGTGAATGTTTAATCAGCAGTTTTATTTACCATATATATATATATATATCGATGTGAATGATTAATCAGTAGTTTTTATCTACCATATATATATATACATATACATATATATCGTTTAGAATGTTTAATAAGAAGTTTCTATTTACCACACATATATATATATCGATGTGAATGTTTAATCAGGAGTTTTTATTTACCATATATATATATATATGTGTCGTTGTAAATGTCTACTCAGAAGTTTTATTTACCATACATATATATATATATATATATATCGTTGAGAATGTTTCATCAGAAGTTTTTATTAAAACAAGTTTTATTTACCATATATATATATCAATGTGAATTTTTGAACAAAAGTTTTTATTTACCATATATATATATATGTGTGTGTGTGTATCGTTGTAAATGTTTACCCAGAAGTTTTTATTTATATACATATATATATATATATCGATGTGAATTTTTAAACAGAAATTTTATATATGTATGTATGTATCGTTGAGAATGTTTAATCAGAAGTTTTATTTACCATATTTATATCGTTGTGAATTTTTAGTCAGAAGTTTTTATTATCCGTATATATATATACCGTTGTGAATTTGTAATAGGATGGTAAATAAAAACTTCATATCGTTCTAAATGTTTAATCACATCGATGTGAATGTTTAATCAGAAATGTTTATTAACCATATATATATTTATATATCAGTGTGAATTTTTAATAAGAAGTCTTTATTTACCATGCATATATGTATCGATGTGAATGTTTAAACAGAAGTTTTATTTTTATATAAATATATCATTGTAAGTGTTTATTCAGAAGTTTTTTTACCATATACATATATACATATATATATATTGTTGTGAATGTTTAACCAGGAGTTTTATTTACCATATATATATATATCGATGTGAATTTTTAAACAGAAATTTTATATATGTATGTATGTATCGTTGAGAATGTTTAATCAGAAGTTTTATTTACCATATTTATATCGTTGTGAATTTTTAGTCAGAAGTTTTTATTATCCGTATATATATATACCGTTGTGAATTTGTAATAGGAAGTTTTTATTTACCATCTATATATATATCGTTCTAAATGTTTAATCACAAGTTTTAATTACCATATATATATAGTTGTAAATTTTTACTCAGAATTTTTTTACCATATATATATCGTTATGAATTTTAATCAGAAGTTTTTATTTACCATATCTATATATAGATGTGAATGTTTAATCAGTAGTTTTTATTTATCATATATATATCGATATGAATGTTTAATCAGAAGTTTTTTTTATCATATATATATATAT